CCAAGAGTTCTGAAGGAACTCAAATGTGAAACTAACAGCTTCTGTACCAAATGACTGGAGGATAGCTAATGTGACGTCAATTTTTAAAAAGGGCTCCAGAAGTGACCAGACATTACAGGCCGGTAAGCCTGACTTCAGTACCGGGCAAACTGGTTGAAACTATAGTAAAGAACAAAATTGTCAGACACATAGATGAACATAATTTCTTGGGGAATAGTCAACATGGTTTTTGAGGGAAATAATGCCTCACCAATCTACTAGAATTCTTTGAGGGGGTCAACAAACATGTGCACAAGGGGGATATAGTGTATTTAGATTTTCAGAAAGCCTTTGACAAGGCCCCTCACTAAAGGCTCTTAAGCAAAGTGAGCAGTCATGGGATAAGAGGGAAGGTTCTCTCATGGATCGGTAACTGGTTAAAAGACAGGAAACAAACAGTAGGAATAAATGGTCAATTTTCACAATGGACAGAGGTAAATAGTGGTGTCCCCCAGGGATTTGTACTGGGACCAGCGCTGTTCAACATATTCATAAATGATCTGGAAAAATGGGTAAACAGTGAGGTGGCAAAATTTGCAGACAATACAAAATTACTCAAGATAGTAAAGTCCAAAGCAGACTGCAAAGAGTTACAAAAGGATCTCATAAGACTGGGTGACTGGGCAACAAAATTGCAGATGAAATTCAATGTTGATAAATGCAACGTAATGCACATTGGAAAACATAATCCCAGCTATACATACAAAATGATGGAATCTACATTAGCTGTTACCACTGAAGAAAGAGATCTTGGAGTCATTGTGGATAGTTCTCTGAAAACATCCACTCAATGTGCAGCAACAGTCAAATAAGCTAACAAAATGTTAGGAACCATTAGAAAATGGATCGATAAGACAGAAAATATAATAATGCCACTACATAAATTACTGGACATGTTTACATTTGAATACTTAATGCAGTTCTGGTTGCCCCATCTCAAAAAAAGATAGAATAGAACTGGAAAAGGTACAGAGCAAGACAACAAAAATGATCAGGGGTATGGAACAGCTTCCATATGAGAAGATATTAAAGGCTTTTCAGCTTGGCAAAGAGGTGACTAAGGCGGGATATGATAGTAGTCTATAAAATCATGAATGGTGTGGAGAAAAAGTATTCTTTGCTCCTTCATGTAACACAAGAACCAGGGGTCACCCAATGAAATTAATAAGTAGCAGGTTTAAAACAAACAAAAGGAAGTAGTTCTTCATACAACGCACAGACAACCTGTGGAACTTGTACTATAACAGGGTTCAAAAAAGAATTAGATAGCTTCATGGAGGATAGGTCCATCAATGACTGTTAGCCAAGATGGTCAGGGATACTACATCATGCTCTGAGTGTCCCTACCCTTTAACTGCCAGAAACTGGGAGTGGACGACAGGGGATGGATCACTCGATGATTGCCTGTTCTGTTTATTCCCTCTGGAGCACCTGGCATTGTCCACTGTCAGAAGACAGGATACTGGGCAAGATGGACCATTTATCTGACCCAGTATGGACATTCTTATGTACTGTGCCTTGCTTTCACGACCATGACATTTTCTCATTGTTTTTTTAAGAGTGATAAAGATTCCTTTTTGACAATGAATAACTGGGGCTAAGTATCAGAGAATAAGATTCCTTAGCTAAAGAGAAACACAGCAATTGTCACATACTTGGGGAACACTGGAAACAATCCAATGGCCAGTTTAGTGATCTGCCACTTGGATACACCACATTCTATGAGCTAAATAACCACCGCCATTCTCTTATTCAACTCTACAGATTGTAATACTTTACCAGTCTCCTCTACCATACAATTCTTATATTCTTTTTCTGTTTCCTTTCCCATCACTGCTGTCTAAGACGTGTATGTCTATAAACAAAAGCTATTTCTTTTCTAATTTAGATACCACATTATGTCTAAACTATCTTGTCTGTGTTTCATTTAGATTGTTAGCTCCTTGAGGCAGAGACCTGGCCTTCCTCTAGGTTTACATAACACTGAGCAGCGAATGGAATAATGGCATTCAATAAATAATAAATTGTTTGCCTATATATTTACAGTCACATTGTGCCCTTGTTTTTACTCAGTTGAGAAAGAGAATAAGTGGAGTAAATTCTCCCCTCTTCCCCATCTTGCTCAGCAGAGTAAGACCTACCTGGCTCTTGGGTCTGGCTCTTGTGTCAAGCAAGACCCATGATTTCCAGATGGTCCGACCTATGAGCAAGTGCGTGGGGAGGGGATGGAGAAGATAGGGAGTTGCAAGAGCTTCTCCCTGCCCCACTCACTGGCAAGAATAGCTTGCCAGGCACAAGGGGAGAAGCAAGCTGCACCCTTTCAAGGGCCACACTTACTTTGCCTCTTCTGAGGGCTGCACCTGAAGGCCTGAACTAGCCCTAAACCGTTTCTGATCATTTGCAACATCAGAATTGCTTCCATGATGGTGAACCCCATGATGAGAGGCACTGAACAGAGGCATCAGTGAAAGAATCCAGAAAGAGGCAGCCTTCATAGAACTATTTTCTTTACATCCAAGTATCTTAACATGCAGTAATAATCAGAAGAGGAAATTCAGAAAATAACGCATAGCAATGTAATGGAGCTGAGTATTATCTTCTAAAATGCATCAATGGCAACTCATTGCTGTTTTTAAGAAACTAGAAGTCAAATCCTGCTTGCCTTACTCACACAAGTAGGACTGCTGGTCTTGATTCTGATCTCACTTACGTTTACGCAAATAAGGAGTGATCCCATTGTAACCAATGGAGGTGCCAGCTGTAAAAAACAGAGTGAGATCAGAATCATGCTCATCATCTTCAAACAGAGCTACTACTTGTGTAAGGAAGATGAGCAGGATTTGACCTTGGATTTGGACTCTTTAGCTGTGGAATCCTACAAACAGCTTACTATTCTTTACAATGTAATTGTTAAATAGACAGTGCTGATGTGCAATAGCTTAGGACCAACATGTTGGTTTTGTTTTTAAAGTGTTGAATTACAAAACCCTATATGAGATGTCATCATAATATTTTTAAATTCAGTTTATATTTAAAGTATGTAAGTATTCCCCAGCAGTGTTATGAATCCAGACACAAGAGCAATTGGCGAGGCAGAAGAACCAGAACATGAAAGGGATTCCTAACACAAATGAAACAGACCAGTCCACCTACATTGTTCCACATAAATGAAATGAAAAAAAGAAATTGCATAAATGGTGAAAAGTACATTAGATATTTAAAATGTCTTTAAATTGTAGTAATCTAAATGGTATTATGGGTACCGCAAGTAAGACTTTGTTTAACTCTATGAGCCTATATCCAATTCCAATTATTTCAATAAACACTAGAACAGGCCCTATGTCACCAAATTCCGCTCATTTACTTCCACATACCCTCACTAACTTTAATAGCATGGATGTAAAGGAAGCAGAATTTTGATTAGAATTTTTACTTACTTAGCAATATCCTTTTAATTTAATCCCTTATTTCTACTGTTACCTAATGCAAAATGCCACCCTATATCCATTAACTTATCTAATTTCCTGTTTGCATGTTTTTCTGACCATTAATACAGTTCTCATTTAGGTCTTCAGCCAGTTCATAATGAGCACTCAGATCCTTTCATTTAGCAAAATGGTGAGTTATAAATTTTCCATTTTCTTAATCAAAACCCTATCATTATCATCACCAAAGGACAGAAAACAGGAAGAGTATGATACTTACACAAATGTTAAAAAAGGACACTGTCAAAAGTGTTTTTCATCATTTCTTACATTTCTTGTGCTAATGGTTACTTGTAATAATGCCTTGGAATGTTGAAGTTGCAATCTGTTTCTGCAATGAAACCTGTTCATTGTGTAAACATTCTTATTAAATGTTCATGTTATGTCAGTGCTCATTGACTGCAATCAGGATGGGGCACTGTACACACAGTATTAGAAACAGTCCCTGTTTGTTACTGTAGGGTTGCTCATCAGATCTGTCTATCCATATTTAATTATTTTGCTAAAGAAAATTTAATTGATCTAATTTTTAGAGGAAAAGTTGACTTAGCAAGTATTAAATGTACTTTGCAAACGCACATAAGAAAGCAAAAGTAGGTCTAATTTTGACTCTACCATTTTTGACAATGTCCTTCTAAGGGGAAGACTAAATTACACTCTCAGGGTCAACTTCTGCTCTCAGTTACACCAGTGTAACAGCAGAGTAATTCTACTGACTCTGATAAAATTACTCCAGATTTATACCACCTTATCTGACAGCAGAATTTGGCTTTACCGAAATAGCTGTTTTGAGAATCTGTTTTGAGAAGTTAGATTTAGAGATTTCAGAGTAGCAGCCGTGTATATATATCTCCTCAATATATGTTCCATTCTATATGCATCCGAAGAAGTGGGCTGTAGTCCACGAAAGCTTATGCTCTAATAAATTTGTTAGTCTCTAAGGTGCCACAAGTACTCCTGTTCTTCTTTTTTTTGTAGATTTAGAGAGAAATTATTTGATTTTCACTCACTTAAATCAGGAGTGCAAGAGTATAGATGGTTTAGAGAAAGGCTTATAATGGTTCCTCTTTTGGTTTCAGATGGGCTACATTCAGAAACCAGGTCTAAAAAGAATGGGACAAAAACCAAACAAACAAAAACCCCAATACCAACTTTGAACTAAATATCAGTTCAATACAGAATTCAGTCCAGTGTTGTGGAAGGTGATTTTTCCCAAGGCCATCAATTCCTTATTCCTGAAACTGAACTTAACATAAATACAGGAACAACAGGCCATAAAAAATTGGTGTTGGGGCTACATTATATTTAGTTTGAAATGTATCCTTCAGTGACCTGTTTAGGGAGCAAATGGAAGGGAAGAAAGGAAGATAGAGATCTGAGTAGTGCAAAGAACAACAGATATTAACTGACAGTCCCTCCCCAAAAAGTGAGAGACCTTCTAACCAAAGGGGTTCTGCTCATTTAGCTCTGCTTCTCTGATGACATTCATTCCCTAGTTACTTCTATACTTGTTGATGCATTTCCCATTGTTTTGATTTTTTTTTTTACCTATCCACGCTTGTCTCTGCCAGCCTATTATTCATAATCGCTAGGGCTCCTACCCCGCCAGAGAATCCATTATGTTTAGAACTAGAGTTCAACTGCCTTGGGTAGCCATTGGCAGTTTCTGACAGCTGTTTCTGCATGATGGCCAGTGACACTTTGTTGGAGGCTAAGAAATCTTTCATGGAGATCATCTCGCCAGACAGCCGGCGTCCATCTGTGTCGCTCTCATTGACGCCATCAGTCTCAATGGAGATGTTCCGCCGGCTCCGCACATTCCCTGGCATCACAACATTCCTCCGTGACCTAAAGAATTTTCTTTGGCATCTGGGGCAGCACCTGCAATCCAGCTTCTTTAATATCCAGTTTATGGACTGTTTGATAACAATCGAGATCACATTAAATAAGGAATAGATACAGCAAACCCCCATGAGTATGAAGACAAAGTTGCCAAATCGGTAAAGGCCTTGGCTTTCATACTGGGCATTTTGGCTACTGACCAGGTCACCAAAACCAATAGTGCTGAAGGCCACGAAGCAAAAGTAAAGTGAGTCAAAGTAACTCCACCCTTCAATCGGTGTGTACATTGCAGAGGCACAACAGGAAATGATAAGTGATGCTACACATAAAATGAGCATGACATAGTACACAGATGGCTTCCACCCTGCCAAGCTGTCCACCTCAGAGTTCCCTGAGCCTCGCCGGCTGTCATGAGGGAGGACCCCTTTTCTCCTCAGCTGTCTCTCATGGCAGGATTTCATGATGTAGGCTATGACCGTGATCAAGCGCTCCAGGAACAGGTTAAAGAATAAAATGGTCCCTGCACATCCTATAAGGCCATAAAATATCAGAAAAATTTTTCCTCCAACGGTGGCTGGGGTGGTCATGCCGAACCCTGGAAGACAAAACAGAAGAGTTGAGTAAAAATAACCCCTTAGTTACAGCATCAAGGGTTTTGCCACATGCAAGCCAAAACAACTGGCAGGAAATCACTATGGCGTCTATTAGCTTTGAAAGAGTAGCTGGGAATTCTCTCCAAGTTCTACAAGCTTATGACCCACATTATTCCAGTGCAAAAAGTAAGCAGAGATCACAAAAGCAGAGTGGGTACACTTTCCCCTAATTAGAAATGAAATGAAATAAATGAAAGCAAATAAATTTGAAGAAAGAGCTGTTTAACCGAGGATCTGAGCTGCTGTCTGCTGCAGAGCTCACTTTACCACAACCCTGTGCTCGGCTCCCTGTTTCAGAGCTAATCTTCTGAATTACTACGCTGACCTCTTCTCCCACTCTGTTCTGCTTCATTGGCCTGAAGTCTATAAAAAGTCCAGTGAAGTCTATACAAAAATTCCCATTTACTTCAACAGTCAATGAATGGATTAATCCTCACGGTCAGACCTGTGTCGATGCATTACCAGATTTTCCCTTCTTTCCCACTAGCCCAGGCTCTGCTCCACAGTTCAAATCTGTACTGGAGCATTACAGGAGCGGCCCTGCTTTCCTGTCCTCTGCTGTATTGCTTTCCAACTCAGATATGTTTTGCAACTTTGCAAATATTCCCACATGGATTTTTTTTCTTTCTATGTCTGAAAATACCATTTTTGCTTGGGGTTAATATTTATTGAAAAGACAAAATTGCTGTAAATGGGATGTTTATAAAGAATCAAAATGAATAAATTTGTCTTAAATATGATGGGCATATTAGAGGTAATATACATGTTGAATATGTTTGCTGTAGTTTGAACAGGGTCTAGAGAAGCTGAACAAGTGATTAAATAACTGTCCAATTAAGTTAAAGCAGGCTTGCTGAGAGAACAAAAAAATAGCACATTGAATAAGACACACATCGGCATTTGTTCTCCTCTGTCTGTAAATGCAGGATATTAACTGCATGAAATAAAAGAACCAGAGAACTGAATATAAGGGAAATGTATTCAGTATTTCGAAGTGCATTGCTCTTGTGCCGGGAAAGACAAATACAGGATGGGAAGCTGGGAACATCCCTGTTTTTACATCTACAGCAGGCTGGAAGCAGGGCCGACGAGAGGGCGGGGAAGCCGGTACAAATTACCGGGGCCCGGCAGTCCGGAAGGGGGCCCGGGGTCCAGCTTCCCTGCCCTCTCGTTGGCCCTGTTTAGCAGGTCCGCCCTTGCTGGAGGGCCCGAAAAAATTTTTTCACCGGGGCCCGAACCCACTCTCAGCTGCCCTGGCTGGAAGGGATGGAGGTCATCTGTAGATACACAGCAGACCAAACTGCAAGTGGAGAGGAAGAGGATTAGGGTTAGGGTGCACAGGATAATTCTCACAGGACACAGCAAAACCTGTGGCTGGCCCTAGGTAGTTAAGGCAGATTATTCTAAACTGTGTCGACGTTAGTGATGCGGCGTAACATCTGCTAGAGGCTTGAAAACATTGAAAACAATGTGAATTTTGCCATTGACTTAGTGGCTAGAGCCTGAGCCCAAACCCATAAAATTCATATCCCTTGTCATTTAAAATTCCTATCTGAGTCCACATTTCCATAGGTGGAAGCCTAGCAGTAAAGGTTCTACAAAGAGACCCAACCAGTCAAGACAGGAAATCCATTATGAATTGTAAATAATGGAAAACACAGGACATGAAATCAGAAAGCCAGTGAGCCCAGCCTCTGGTCCTTGTCCTTTTTTCTTTCCCACTGGGGCCTCAATTTAGACCTTTTGGAGAAATAAAATGCTTTTTTTTTCTTTCTACTTATAAATCTCAAAATGTGTTAATCGAAACTAATGATAATTTCATGTAGTGCTAGATTGGAAAACCTAAAAGCACTGTACAGTACAGATATTAATCTAAACCTAACAATATTGTCTTTTGGGGTTGTGGAAAAAATAAACTGTAGGCTTCTAGCTGCACTGCTAAATCAGTATACAAAATGGCTTGTAGTTCCATTCATGAAGAAATATTTTGGGCCAAACTGACCCCTGGTGTCACTCTATGGACTTCAGTGCATGATTCTATTTAAAGATACTGTCATGCAAACAGCCTACCTGGTCACTGCAAATACTCTATGATGGGAAATTGCTTCCCTTTTCTCTCTTGTTTTTTCTCTAGTGTGACGTCAGGGGTAGTGTAGATCATTCAGTGACTAAAGAGCAAATCAATAGAACTTATGTCTAGGTAAAAGTACCCATGCTTGTATACTCTGCAAACACAGCAGCTCTTTGCCAAAAATCAATCTCTTTGCTAGACCAGAAAAAGCTCTAAAACCAAAACTCCCTCTTCCAATCAAACAGCAACAAAACAGCATTGCCGCCTGTCGTCTGCTTTCATATACATTCTCCCTAAAACTTCAAAGGGTCTAGGTGGGGAACCTATTGTACCTGTGAACGAAATCAAAAAGACCATCTAGTGTCTAACCTCCCTTTGCTAAGCAAGCTAACTGAGAACCTAGCAACAGCAACCTCTGTCACCATCTGTCAGCTTCAGGTATCCTGGATAGAACTGATTGGAAAATGTTTTTTTCCTCCTGCAGCAGAAAATTTCTACTTTTAGGCAAAAAAATATATATTTTTTTCAGCTGCCAACTGAAATACTGCTGCAGTGCCTCATGCTCCCAAGTCTCCTCGATGGGCTGGGCTCCCTGGTTGGACTACATCTCCCACGATGCACCTCAGGCTCCCTTTTTGGCGAGGGATGGTAGTACATCTTAGGAGATGGAGTCCTACCAGGAAGCCTGGCGCACAGAGCAGAACGGGAGCATGAGGCACCCGAACTACAATTCCCATGATGCACTATGGCAGCATTTCTGAATCAAAATATTTCAGTTTGTGGCATAAATATGTTGATTTTCAGATTAAACTTTTCAGTTTTGGGGCAGGTTTTTTTTTAATGAAAAATGAAAATTCTGTGGAAAGCACACACTTTTTGTGAAAAAAATTTGTTTCTTCAAAAACCTAATTTTCTATTGAAAAACAGTTTTGATGGAATTTTTTTGACCAGCCCTAACACTGGATCCCTCCCAGCCAGGCTTCAGGCCATGCCATGATATAGAAACACTTGTTGCTCTCGTGGTTAACTTCCTTCTCTCCATAGACCAGTGAAGGGATCCATATTCATCCTTCTGGACCTCTCTGTGGCATTAGATATCATAGATCATCCTCATACAGCATGGATGCTTCAAGCTTGGGACCAGCTCTGGCAATACTGGAGCAGTCCCACTTCAGAAAGACTCTTTGCATTTTCTCCTCCTCTCAGACACAATCTGGCCCTTCATATTTGTACCAAGAAAACATACTTTTTAGAACTAGAGAAGAAAGTCATTTTGAACTGACCAAAAAAATTAATTTCAAATTAGTCAACAAAAACTTAAAAAACATATCCCTATCAGCACATTTTCTTATGGGAGTTGTAGTTTGGGCCCCCATTCTCTCATATGAGCCAGGCTCCCTAGAGATTACATCTCCCATACTACAAAGTGAATTTCCCTCTGACTGAGCTGCATAATGTATCATCGGAGTCACATGACTCCGGCTGCATTATGGCTGATGTAGTCTGACCAGGGAGCCTGGCTAATAGGGACATAGAATCATAGAATCATAGAACATCGGGGTTGGAAGGGACCTCAGGAGGTCATCTAGTCCAACCCCCTGCTCAAAGCAGGATCAGTCCCCAACTAAATCATCCCAGCCAGGGCTTTGTCAAGCCTGACCTTAAGAACCTCTAAGGAAGGAGATTCCACAACCTCCCTAGGTAACCCATTCCAGTGCTTCACCACCCTCCTAATGAAAAAGTTTTCCCTAATATCCAACCTAAACCTCCCCCACTGCAACTTGAGACCATTACTCCTTGTTCTGTCATCTGGTACCACTGAGAACAGTCTAGATCCATCCTCTTTGGAACCCCCTTTCAGGTAGTTGAAAGCAGCTATCAAATCCCTCCTCATTCTTTCTCTCCTGCAGACTAAACAATCCCAGTTCCCTCAGCCTTTCGTCGTAAGTCATGTGCTCCAGCCCCCTAATCATTTTTGTTGCCCTCTGCTGGACTCTTTCCAATTTTTCCACATCCTTCCTGTAGTGTGAGGCCCAAAACTGGACACAGTACTCCAGATGAGGCCTCACCAATGTCAAATAGAGGTGAATGATCACGTCCCTCGATCTGCTGGCAATGCCCCTACGTATACAGCCGAAAATGCCATTAGCCTTCTTGGCAACAAGGGCACACTGTCGACTCATATCCAGTTTCTCATCCACTGTAACCCCTAGGTCCTTTTCTGCAGAACTGCTGCCAAGCCATTCGGTCCCTACTCTGTAGCAGTGCATGGGATTCTTCTGTCCTAAGTGCAGGACTCCGCACTTGTCCTTGTTGAACCTCATCAGATTTCTTTTGGCCCAATCCTCTAATTTGTCTAGGTCCCTCTGTATCCTATCCCTACCCTCCAGCGTATCTACCACTCCTCCCAGTTTAGTGTCATATGCAAACTTGCAGAGGGTACAGTCCACGCCATCCTCCAGATCATTAATGAAGATATTGAACAAAACCAGCCCCAGGACCGACCCTTGGAGCATTCCGCTTGGTATTGGATGCCAACTAGACATGGAGCCATTGATCACTACCTGTTGAGCCCGACGATCTAGCCAGCTTTCTATCCACCTTATAGTCCATGCATCCAGCCCATACTTCTACAACTCCTATGAGGCAAATATACCACTTTGGGAAAATGTAGTTTATATTGAACTGACTCAAAGTGAAGCTTTCCAGGTACATTCAAGAAACCAAATGAAACATTTTGATTTCTGGAATCTTGAATTGTTTAGCTCAATCAAAAATGTCAATATGAAACATTTCAACATTTCCAAACTGAATTTTTTGTAATTTCTGTTCCATGAAAAAATTCAAAAAATGTCAACTTTTCATCCTGAT